CACCTATCTAGATTCCTATTGGCCAGCAGTAATTTATTGACATATACACAGGACTTCCCCAACAGGAATTGATTTAAAGATGTACACCCCTGTACCTAGTTTGTTACCTTATTTTTGAAACAGGATCTCACTGTGTAGAAGAAGCTGGCCTCGAACTCAGAAACCCTCCTGCTTCTGCCTGCCAAGTGATAGGTGCACCACCCCACCTTGCTCCGTCTTCTTGCTGACATTTTTAGATTTATTTATATTACTTTATGTATATGTATATGTATATGTATATGAATGTTTGCCTGCATGCCTAGATCCTTTGCAAGAGCAACAAGCGCTTTTAACAGCTGAGCCATCTCTCCAGCCTCTTGTTGACACATTTTAAAGTAAAAGAGATTTGGCTTACCAACACACTGCTGCCACTAGATCACAGGCTGTACAATACTATTGTCTTGTTAGCTTGCATGGGCTGATTCCTCTCAGTGCCATGCCTGGTGCTGAAGTCAAGGTGTCAGCATGACTGGTGGCCTCTGTCCTTGGCTACAGGGCTGTCTTCTTTCTGAAGCCCCTCCGTTTGTGTCTGGCGTCTTCTTGGAAGGACACTAGTCGTGCTGTGTTAGGACCCACCCTGAGCACCTTGTTTACTTCTTTGAAGGTCCTGTCCCATGCGTCGTATTCTAAGATCTGGAACTTGAGGGACACAGCTCACACCATCACACCTCTCATTTGTTTTTAGGGTTTGTGATTTTGTTTGTTTGTTTTGAGACAGGGTCTTCCTAATGTAGCTCTGGCTATCGTAGAACTCACTCTGTAGGCCAGGCTGTCCTCAGACTAACAGAGATCTGCCTGCCTCTGCCTCCCAAGTGCTAGGATTAAAGGTGTGCGCCACCACCGCCTGGCTACCTTAGTATTTTATCCGCATCTCTCAGAAAGGACGTTTTCTTACATTGCCACTCTCTGATTTCCTAACACTGACCTGTGTTCAGATTGCCTACACTGTGTCAGGCAGGCTTCTTTGTGCCAGACAGCCGTAGCTGTGGCATCTTGAACAGCAGTTCCTGCTTCCTGCTTGTGATATGGGCAGGCTGACCACAGCCCATCTTTGTTACACAGGGATAGTGTGGGCTGGAAGACCCCAGATTCCCATGAGGGTTGGAGAGCCAGAGGTAGGGAGTGTGGAAGTGACTGTGGTCAGTACCTGCCCGGTCGGCAAGACTTTGTACTCTTGGGTCGTTGGCCAGCGGCATGGAGCATCCTGATGCCAGCCAGGCTCTGGCAGCACCGTGCCTGCCTGAGCCCGCCTGCCCTTGAAAACACAAGTAGTTTACATTATGTCCTCTCCAGAAGAGGACACCGAAGCTGCGGCACAAGACAAAGCAGGGCTGATGTGGCCTGCACCACTCTGGGGCCAGGCACCTATGCCAGTCCCTGTCTAAGACTATCAAAGTTGTCACATGCCTTGTGTCCGCTCTGCTGGCTGACATTGCTGACCCTGTGTGCCCTGGGAGTCCTTACAGGACAAGGCTCTGGCCTCTCCACAGTGCAGCCAGCAGATCTGAAGTGGGAGTATGTGGGGAAGAGATGACCTCAAATACTGCAGGACGTCCCAGGCCTGGCAGGAGGCTGCAGTGTGGAATGCAGTGGAGAGTCTCTGGCCTGAGGGAGGGGGAGGGGGAGCCTGTGTCTGCAGCCTTGTTTCTCACTCCTCCCCACTCACAGGATGTTTTCCTTTCATTACTTCAGTAATTGAGCTGAAAGCTGAGGACCGGGGCAAGTTCCTGGATGCTCTCGTATCTCTGCTGTCCTGAGGGTAAGCCCAGGGGTAGGGGTGATGGGGTGCGGCGGGAGTCCTCGGGCCTCAAGCCCGGCTCCTGCTTTGTCTCCTTCAACAGAGACTTTTACTTGTGTTTCAGATCAGAGCAGGGTCTGGAGATTTTTCCCAGGAATGTCTGTCCTAAGACTTCCAATATGGCCACAATGGAGCGCTTCTGAGAAAGCTTAATTTCATTAAGCACCTCTGACCCTCAGAACAACCCCACATTTTCTCTCTAATGCCCACTCCATGGGGCTGAGCATCATGATTACCCAGTGCTAGCCCCAGGGGCCACCAGAGTTCTTACGGCCGGAGCCCACACAAGTGGCACTCTGAGCTTCTCTGCGCTCAGTCTTTAATGAGATGGCAAGCTGTTGGCAACTGCCCAGCTGCAGATGACGAGATGCGGGCTCTGCAAAGCCTTCAGCTGCGGACAGCTGTGCTGAGAGCCCGGAACCTCCCCAGTAAAGCCCTGGCTCTTCTCCCACGTGACTCTTCTCTTTGGGGGACCACGTGGCATGGAGTGGGGCTTTTCCCCATGCCTGTGTAGCCATCGCAGCCTTTCCAAGGCTCTGACACCAGAACACTCAATCTGGGGCTGCCCTATCCTTGTTAAACCCTGAGCTGAAGGGCCAGAATGGCCTAGCTGGTCTCAAGAACTCCATTCAATCAGGGTAACCTAAGCATTCGGGGCCATACTAAGGAGGGTATGTAGACTGGACCAGGAAATCCTTGGTCAGACTAGCAGTGACTTCGTGTACTCGGCTTGTGGGCCCGGCATGTGCCGCTGACTGGAGATAGACCTCCCTCCTGCACTGCCTCAGCAGCACTGTGTATGTGGCCGTCCAGCAGGGGTGGGACTGCAGGGATGGGGAAGACACTGCTCCGTGAGGGGAGAGCAGTGCACACTGGAGATCCTTGTGGCCTTCCGCGCCACACTCATCCTCACAGCAGCCTCACACACCTCAGGGAGGGAGGCCTTGGTTCAGTCTGTTTGATGCATGGGGAGAAAGGATGAATTGTGTGAAACCTTCTTTTTTTTCTTCCAGAATTTGATTTCTCCAGAAGTGACCTCCTTTTCCTTATTTATATCACCCGACCTCTATTAGATTGCAAGATACATTTGAAGTGTGGGACTACGTGGTTTTTAATAAAGTAAAATGTTTGTTTGGGGTTCGTCCCATTGTGCCTCAGATCTTCGGTCAGTACTTGCAAGTACTCTGAGCCTTCTTGGGACCCAGGGCACCCTGGTTCCTGTGTGCTGTGTGCCAGACAGAAAGTCAGAGACTCCTCTCGCAGCCGCACAGACAAGGGCTCCCTGCCTGCTCCCCTGGCCTCCTGAAGGCAATGGGCAGAGGCTGGGCCAGCCCCTCAGTACAAGTGTCTTCACAACCAGTACCTGTGATGACTGCAGCCCACCAGTCTGAGGAAGGACTGGACTCTGCCTGCCAGACTGTAGTTGTGTCAATCACCCTCTTGGACACCCCTCCACCATGGCCTCCAGCTTGCCATAGAGGGCCTGCTCAGATGCCTTGTCCCTGCAGGCGTGCAGAGGGAAGGCCTCAGGTCGAGGAGGGCTAACCCCCAAGGGGTGCCTGAAGAGAAACACTACCCAGGGTTCTGTCAACATTGCACACACCCACTCAGAATGTTTCGACTATTGAACCTAGAATGGTAAAGTCTACTGTCACTGTTCCTGGAGACTGGAAGGTGAAGAGGGGCTGCTCACTGCCTGGGGTCGTGGGTCCTGGAGAAGAAGACATGGTAGGAAGTATATCCATTTGGTGATCTTAAGTCAGTGACAGGGAGCAGACAAAGTGGCCTAGAAGAGGGACCCCGAATGATCAGGCTGCTCTTAGGGAAGTGAGGGGTACAGCGGGTAGACGCTGGTGGGGACTGGCTCCTCTCCTGACGCTGGTAGTGCCACCAGCTACTTTCACATAGCCACCCTGGCCACTCGGAAAAACTCGGGAGGGGTAGCTCCCTTCCTTACTCTGTACCAGGTAGAGTCCAATGGGAGAAGAGTGCACCAGCCAAGGGCGCCAGCTGGGGTACAGGGCTAGCTCTAGATCACATGTCCCCAAGTTTGGGGCTGCCCTTGATCACTCCTGCACATGTGCCTGTTGGCACAGTGAGGTTTCCACTGACAGTCTCACAGGCTCGGGCCACTGAAAGTAAGCCTCCCCATAAGTCTCACCCTTGACTTCTCTGTCCCTAATTCCAGAATCTGTCCTGAGCCTCTGAGCTCATGTCCTAAGGATTTACCCCTTCCTCACTGTGAGGAACCCAGCCAAGCCTGAAAGACTTAGCAATGGATGTGGCCCAACCGTTTCTGAACAGACTTCTGGGATCCAGAAACCAAGCCTTCCTGCTGTCCTGGCTTTGTATGCCTCCCTGCAGCCCCTCCATCTGCTACTCCTGTTTCTGGTCTTTTAGCAAAAGGAAAAATGTCCAAGTAGGGAGAAACAATAAGCTTTGTGGCTGATGGCTTTACTTGCCTTTCCTCCCTAGGGTCTTTTACCAAACCCAGGCCCTCCTCCCTCTTTCCCCCAGAATAGTCACACCCCCAGGTTCTCTAGTTGTCGACACATTTGCATTACACAGAGCATGGACACAGCCTAGACCCTGTGTAGAGCCACACTAACCGGAGGAGCTAGGACAAAGCTGGAGTCGGGCCCAGGTTATCTGAGCAAGTGCCTCTCCTCGCATTTGTCATGCACTGCAATCAGAACTGAGGACCAGTGACATCCTCGATTCACCCTGGCTCCCACACCCGAGGCAAGTGCCTGGTCTGACTTTACAGTTGTCTGTGGTCACATCATGGTGCTTGGAGCTGAAGTACACTGTACTTCATGGTACTTGCTGGACAAGCACGGGGAGGAAATGCTTTAGGGGCTTGCTGGGAGAAGCTAGCAGCCTAGCTACCTTCTCCCGGCCCAGGTCCATTCCCATGAAGTGAAATTCCAGCTGGGTCCTCTCCTGGGGTCAGCTTCCCCGCATACATCCCAGCCTGACTCCAACTCTTGCCCTGGGATTTTTTTGCCCACCATCTTGGCTTCTTACAAGTGTAACTCCATCTTCCAGTTGCGGACTGGAGGAATCCCTGTGGGAGACTTTGAGGAGGTTGGTGGGCGATTGGATGAAGAGCTGTGCTGGGCACAGGGAGTGGCTAGCTGGACAGAGGACAGTACGCGGCGGAGAGTGTTCAAACCATTTACTAAGCAAATTCTTGCCCATCCCGCCCCACCCCCAAGCTGCGAGGAGGGCAGCCCCACTAAGGCTCTGGTACCTACAGTCCCTCCTCCCCCCCCCGTTGGGGGAGTGCTGGAGTGAGAGGAGGTCCAGGCCAAGTCCTTTGTTTGGTTCAGTGGGCTCTCCACTAAAATGGAAAATGCCCTTTATAACATATCCCTCTGGCAGCCCAGGCTGCGAGCCTGTAGTACTCCAGCTGTACTTTCAGGTCAGCAGGAGCTACTGGACATTAAGGCAGCATCCAGAACTCCCCAGTCTCAATAGGGACTGTCAGCTGCAGTTTGGTGCCTGCCACACCGACGAAATCCGAGAGCCCCACCTAAACGCCGCGGTCAACTGCACATAGAAAAGGAGGTCGATCAAGTCCTCACAAGCGCCTGTAGTCTGTTCTGAGCAAGGGCCTGGCTGGTGACGGTCAGAGAACCCTCTGTGGGCATGGAAGTCTGGTCGGAATCCTGCTTGACTTGCCTCGGAGTCTGCGCTGCGTAACCCACGTGCGGCTTCCCGCGTCCATCCTTCCGATCACCCGCTTGGCTGCGGGAAGGGCCCCGCCGTGCCTCCCGCCCTTAGACGTAGTTCTTCTTGTCGTATTCGCCGTTGGCCGTGGGCCGCCGAGGCGCCGAGTACTTGACCGGGAAACTGAACTCCGGGCGGCCGGTGCAGACCCAGGCGCCGCAGCACACGAGACCGCCGCCGCACATGAGCAGAGCGGTGGCCGCCCAGCCGATGTACAGCGCCGCGCCTAGCTCGTACTTCTGAGACACCGGCACTGCCGGATCGTAGAACTCGCGCACCACGATGTTGGCGAACCAGCAGAGCGGCACAAGCGCCAGCAGCCCGCACAGCGCGAAAAGCGCTCCGCCCGTGAGGGCCACGCGCGCCTTCACTGGCCCCGGGGCCACGCAGGTTGTGCACTGCGCGCCGGTCAAGGTAACAAAGAGCGCCACCAGCGCCAGCAGCACAGCGCCCACGGTGAGTGCCCGAGCTGCCTGCACCTCGGCACTCAGCGCCAGCACAGACTCATACACCTTGCACTGCATGTGCCCAGTGCTCTGCACCACGCACGACATCCACAGCCCCTTCCAAGTCGTCTGCGCCGTCACGATGTTGTGGTCCAGGAAGGCAGTCACCTGCCACATGGGCAACCCACACGCCAGAATCAAGCCCACCCAACCTACCACGCATAGCACCAGACCCAGAATTTCCAACGCTGCGGACCCCATGGCTAAAGACCGAATGCTCGCCCTACGGCCCCTGGGGCCTCCGGGTGCGCAGAACGCTGCTTGGGCTGTGAGCTCCACTGGTTCTGGTGCCTCTGCTCCAGAGCTTCCTCAAGTGGACCAGAAGGGAGGATCAACAACACCAACTAAGTTCTTTTGTGCCTGTTGGGGATTTATTTGAAGTCTCGGGGGCGGACTCTGCCCCCAGGGCGCAGCCCGAGCTAGGCCAGCCAATCCATGAGCAGACCTTCGGCCTCTACACCCAATCGCAGACCCCCTGGCAGTAACAGTTAAAGAAACCACAGCCATTAGGACTAGTCCTGCTCGCCCCTACCGCTCCCAGCAGGGCAGCCGTCTATGAACCTACCAGTTTCTGTCCAAGTTCGGGCTGACCTTGGTGGGTTCACAGGCGATCTGCGTGGCTTGTCTCTTAACTTTAGCTGCATGACCTCTAGCCTACACCGACCAATTCCACTCACGACATCCCGTTTCATTCCAACCTTTCCATGCAAAAAGGCTTGGCATGGAGTTTCCCAGAACCCCTGTGCACAGTCGAAACAAACCTCTACACTGTTTGTCCCTCGGCACACCAAGCAGAGATGCTAAACAAACCTCTGTTGGTCATGCCCTTGATTATAACCTCATCCAAGATCCTACCCAGCCACCGCCTACACTCACTCCTTCCCTAGGCACTCGGGGCTGATACACAGTGGGCAGGGGAAGGGCCTGTGCTGTCTCTTGTGTGATGCTGCCTGCATCCTCTATGGTCCAGTGTGTCAGGCAGCACCACCCAGTCCCCAGTCTCCTCCAGCACAGAGACTGTGATCCCCGGCACAGCGGAGACACAGCAGGACATAATGAGGCTGTGCCTTGCCCTCCTACAAGCAGTCGTGGTGCTTTGCCACCCCAGCCCCCAGGCCACCCTCCGGAAGCCAACTTGGAGTTTCCTGACCAGGAGGAAGAGCCCCATCCTCACTGGAGGAGGGAGTCGCGGGATTTCCGGGCATTCTTCTGCACAATGGCCCAGCCATTTCTTGAAAGGTCCACTGGGTTGGACACTCTGGGTCCCTGAGGCTCAGGTGGGGGCACCCGGCCCCACAGCCCACATCCCAACGAGGGCACCAACCCCTTTCCAGCATTTGCCTCCCCATTCCCTTTGTTCCCAGTTAGTCCTAGACTCCGGATGGGTTTTTTTTTTTTTTGTCATTGTTGTGTTTGGGTTTTGTTTTGTTGTTTTTCTCTGCTCAAAAGAACTTGGGGCCTCTATAGAAAAAGGATGACATTGTTGAGAACAGCCACAGATGTGGGGATTTGGGTAAATCTTTCCCTTCTGGTCCCCGGCTTCCTTCCCGAGATGACTCTGAATAAGATGTATTGGGACCAGCTCAGTACCTGCTTCACCCTACACAGAAAGGTGCTTAGGAAAAGGTGCCAGGCCTTGAGGCACACCCTTCCTGTCCCCAGTCAACTCTCCTGATATGTAGGAATAGCTCCTTCCAGCCACCGTATATTGTCTGCTGCCTTCCATGGTCTGCAAACCCTCCCCTGCCTTTCTGGGGGCCTCTCCACTGCCCAGTGGGTGTAAACTCCAAGGCTCACCCTCTTGATCCTACTTCTCTGCTCCAGGCTGGAGAAATGCATTTTGCCAGTCTCCTTCCCTTCAAGATCCATGCCATCTTCCTGGGGCAACTGCTGAAGCCTCTTCAGACCGCCCAGCAAGGCAGCCTCTTCAGGCTCTCACCTATAACCCTGTTTGGCTCTCATTGCCCATTGACGAAGACCTGGATCCTGGGAGCAGCCTAGACTTAGGTGGCTGTGAGTGGCTGGGATTGACAATGTGACCAGGAGCATAGGCTATACTCATTGACCAGATACACCTTCCTCTGGGACTTAAACTAATCTTCCTGCTGCTGCTGGCTTCTCTGTCTGTCTGTCCTGCTGTTCTGCAAGGTTGCACTGATGGACATATTTGAGTACACCTCCCTACATCCAGGCCTCAGAAGGTCCAAGCCAGGATAGCTTTTGCTTGTTGACTTCCTACCAGTGAGTCTCAACAAAGTGATCATTGCCATCCATTTGTCCGAGACAAGAGGCAAGTTGCTGCTTTCAGCTAGTTGGGGATGCAAACAGTAGGACATGTTCCCCTCCCTCCTGCCTGCCCTCCTCTCCACCATTTTGGTAGTATACCCAGACTGACACCCAGGATGGTATCAACAAGTTCACATACCTTTGGTAACAGCCTCACAGTATCTCTAGGAGTTGGAGGTGGAACCTCAGATGTCATGTTCCCCAGCATGCAACCGGCCAGTACCACTCCAGAAAAGCGCAGCTAGGGCTCACATTGCTTCCTCAAGCCTCCTCCAAGACTGAAGGTGGGACAAGGGTCCCATCCCAGACCCAAGGAAAAGTGCTGAGCGCTGGCCAGTGTCTCCACCAGAGCACATAGCACAGGGCGCTTCACAAGCCACCAATGAGGTGCTGGTTGGAAGAAAAGCAACAAAGGGCTCCCCAAAGAGGAGCCGTCTCTTCGGGGTTCCAGGAAGAAGTTCCCAGGGAGCACATGGAAGGAGCCTGGGGTACATGTACATTTGGGGCTCAGCAAGACAGCTCAGGGGTAAAGCACTTGCTCAGCAAGTTTCATCACTAACCAAATAAAATAAAACTAGGTAAGTTGCCCTAGCAGTGGGACAAGGCTCTGAATGGAACTGATCCTGGAGCAGGCAAAAATCAGTATGGCTAGAGAGCAGCAGGGAGCCAGGGCCAGCGAGCCTGGGACTGTGTGGGGACAAGAATCCCAGTCTCGGGTAGGGGGATTGCCAGGCAGGCCACCTGTTCCTGCATCGCTATTGTTCTGCTTTCCCAGGGGAAGTGGCACAGGATCCCATTAATTGTGTGACAGAAAGACCTGAGTCTGCAGAAAAGCAAAGTTTATCTCCAGCAGCTGCTGGCTGACCCTGCCCTGAGGGGATCCGTTGACCTTCCATGGACAATCTAAATTTAGGCTCCAGGTTCCTGGGGCTTGGATTTGGGAAGCTCTTAGCAAACAGGCTTTATTTCAAAGGGAGTGAAAAGCCAACCTTCCTTCCATCTTCCAGCTTCTGGTGCAGGATGTTTCCTCCTAGTCCAGCAGATGTTTACAGAACCATTAAAGCCTTCTTGTCCAGAGCCACTTCTTGGTGGAAGCCAAGAGCCTGGGTTCTCACTGGCCCAAAGGCAGCATCTTGAGACCTCCAATGTCACTAGCCATTGGGCTGGGAACCCATGGTGGCCTGGGTAGGTGGGCAGGGGCCCCTCCCGTTTTCTTTCAGTTATTGGCATGGGTGTCTTCTGTGGCCCAGAGCAGGCCTGGAGTTAGATTCACCCCTGCTTTTTGAACTAATGCTTTGTTTTCTCCATTCATAGTGCAGCCCCTGCCTCAGGTCCCAGATTTGAAGAAGAGGCTAATACTACCTGAAGGTCCTAGTGCTATTCCTGGGAGCCTGGGAGGGGCTTGAAGTCACTCATTGACTCAGCTGATCTTCGAAGTTCATTGAAACTCAGGCCCAGATAGGTGCCAAGTAGCCATCGACATCAGAGGTCACTGTGGTTGTAGCATCTTCAATGAGCAAGAAGAGTTCTGTGAGGGTGGGTAGAGAGCTCCATGTGACAGAGCACTGGGGTCCTGTAGATTCTTTGTCCCTTCAAGGCCCATACTGGATGCAGTCTCCATGCAATCCAGCCTGACCTCTCCCCAACCCCAGAGAGATGCTCTAGGACCTAGACTCTCCTTCTACTCTCTCCGCCCACCTCACCCCCTTCAACTCTCCAGCGCCTAGCTGCTCCATGACATCTCTCCTTTGCCGTGCACATCAGGGCACAACTTCATACCCTTGTCTATTTGAAATCACAGAGTCATGCCCCTTTGTCACTAGGCATCAGATTGGAAACACTCCCCACTTTGTTAAAAATGCCCACATGATAATGGTCATGACCACAAAGGGTATGGAGATTAGTGGAGTTCACATCGTGCCTCAAAGGGACACTGAACTGTCATGATGTCACCTAGGGACTCATTCCCCAAATCCACAGATGCTCAGAGCTGGTGTATAAATAGTGTGATCTTCAGTCTGCAGACATTCAATCATCTGTAGGTTACTTAAGATATGTGAATAGCTAATGTACTACTTTGTCTAGAGAATCATAACCATACAGAAGTGTTCAGCACAGATACAATTTTCCTCATATATAATATGAAAATACATATTATTTCATATGTAATATAAAATATATACATATATATATTTCACATGCTAATTTTTTTCTTTGTAGAGACAGAGTCTCACTATATAGACCTGATTGTCCAGTAACTTAGGCTGGACAGTAGCCTAGGCTGGTCTTGAGATCTAGCTGCCTCTGCTTCCCAAATGCTGGGATTAAAGGTATATGCTACCACACCTGGCTACAGTATTTTCATCCACAGCTGGTTGAGTCTGTGGTTGTAGAACCAGAGGTCTGACTGCACTCAGCCAATTATGTAGTCATCCTCAGGCATCTCTTGATAAATGATTGTATGTTTTGCCTTTGACAAGCAACCACTGAGCTACATACCCAGCCCCTGCAAGTGATACATTTCTATTATAAACAATACTATTATCAGTGTCCTTATGCATAATCCTTTGTATGTAGGAGACTTTATTACTGATAATGTTACCTGAGGCTACCTTTTCATAAGCTAAGCTTCAAAAGTGTGTTACTTCACTGGGTGCGGTGGTGCACACTTTTAATCCCAACACTCAGGAGACTGAAGCAGGGGGATTGCAAGCGAGAGGCCAGCATGGATTTTATAGTGAGGCCCTGTGTCAAACAAACCAAAACCAAACACCTGGCACAGTCTGTAAAAGATATGATTAGTGAACCTGCAGTCATAGAAATAGGACCTGACTCAAGTATGATACACAAGGAAGAAACGCCAGGGTAGGGGGAAAGCCAAGCCCCCAGATGCTTCGGACAGATTAATGGACATGTAGTCAGAGTCTCTACAAAAGTCAAGGAAGAAGACAAATTTATGCTTGAAAAAACATTAGTTGAAAATGTGCAGATTTGTTTAACACTCTAAACCCACTAAATTCATGACTTTCCTGTCAGTGTGACCAACTACCTGACTTGAGGGAGGAGGGGGGCATTTGACTCACACTTTCAGGAGATGCTGCCCATCATGATGGCAAAAGCATGGTCGTTGGGTGTGTGGAAGCTGCCACCCTCAAGCCCATCTCCAGGGACTCACTTCCTCCAGCTAGGTGGCCTCACCTCCTAAAGGTTCCAAAACCACCCCAAACAGCGCCACCACCTGTAGGCCAAGTGTAACACATGAGTTTAATAGGTTCATTTAATGTCACATCAGCCACGCATCCTAGGATGTTGAGAAGTAGCAAGTACAGAAAACATGAAGCATCACTAAAGGACATCATTACAATCTGCTTACAATAAGTGCCAAAGAGGTGAAAATGTGAACCCCGATACTTTGTATGCTAACCTAGAGAATTAATTTTAAAACACATCTTACTGCTAATAATCCCCAAATACAGAAAATGGACAGTTGTGGGGCTTTTTACTTTTTAGATTTATTTTTGTCTTATGGGTGTAGGTGTTTTCCTGCATGTATGTCTGTGCGCCGTGTGAATGCTTGATAGCATAGGAGGCCAGGACAGGGTGTGGGGTCCCTTAGAAGTGGAGTTACAGACAGGACCCAGACTTCTCTGAAATAGCATTAAGCGTTCTTAACCATGGAGCCATCTCTCTA